AACACTCTGAGGGTACAAGCTGCATGTCAGCACATGCAATGAAAAATAAATTTGGTCCATTCAAAACACTGAAAAGGAGACACTGTCATGGTAATACCCAGAACATTCCCCCATCTCCTTATAAGAACAAGAAATAACATTTAACCCCAAAAGCTGTTTTTTCTTCCCCAATTGATGTAAATCGTAGTTATTACATAATGAAAAACTTATATGATTCCTCATACAAGTAAAACTTCAATGGATACCAATCAAATTGAGGACGACTCCCTTCCTTGAAATTTCTGTGTTCATCTGTTCCACCTTTAGGGTATTTCCAGGCCAAAGATAACAAAGGTCAAGCAAACCATTAAAAACTATGCCAGCTCACTTCATGCTCAACCTGGAAGTTCCCAATGAAGTTTTAAAATATTGAAATGGAATATTTTCTAAAATATTTTCTCCTTTGTCCTTCCTTTCTACCTGAATGTCATGTTACATACTGTGCATCTCATTGGCTACAGTCTGCAGTACAGACATCTTACCCTCAGTGACTGACAGGTAAACCCATGTTCCCACAGCTGAACCTCCGCTGATCTCCACACCACACCAGTAGGAACCAGAGTCCCCAATATTCAGATTGTTGATGGTCACAGTGAAGACTTGCTTTGTGGGATTATCACTGATTGACATTTCATTGCTTATCTTTGGAGAGTCAGTACGTACTTTGGGAGTACATGAACTCCAGTTACTCCCTTTGCACCAGTACTTCACCTGCTGTTTATATGTGTTGTCATAGGAACATGGGATGGTGACAGATCCTCCACTCTGTACAGTCACTGTGTTCACTGTGGACACACCTGCAGGGACAGTATGAAAATTACCCAGCTGATTAACTCTCACTCCCTCTTACACCATTTATACACATATTCATAAAGTCAGTGCCAGTCTACTGTAGGCTGCAGTACTTTACTCTGCAGAATATTCAAATTTGTTTTGAATAAATGTTGTATTTACTAGCATCGTATTTGCAAAAATATGAAAACTGATCAGGTAAAATAAAATTAACTTGCAAAAAACCTCCTTTTTCGGTTTATAGTTGCTTCTTTACATCAGCAGCCAAAGCACCTGCAGGTCAGATCAGCTAATCCAGCTGGAGCCAAGCAGGTTAGGACCTGGCCAGTACTTGGATGGGAGACCAAGTAGGAAAACTAGGTAACTGCTGGATGGTGCCGTCTTTCAGATGTGATGTAACACCCAGGTCCCGTAACTCGGATATCATGAGCGATTCCTGGGCATCTTTCAATAGAGTAGGGGTGGTACCTGATGCCCTGGCTAAATTACCCACTGTGGCCCTTTCAATTCTGGCCTCCTAATCATCCTAATATATCTAATTAGTGAATTCTCTCTCGCTCCTTTACCACCTTAGCTACTGTGTGGTGAGCAGAATGGCTGCCATTACATCATCCAGGTGGGGGTGACACAGTGGTGGTGTTTGAAGCGGCTCCCCATTGCTTACATAAAATGCTTTGGGTGTCTTGAAAAGTGCTAAATAAGTGCAACATTCATTTGTATATATTATAGTTATTTAAATTTACAAAATATCAGTAACTGACAGCCAAACTGACTTTTACAGAATGTTTATTTATAATTTTCCTTTTGTATAAGATTTCTACTTAAAATTCAAACCAACTGACATTTTTTAACATATTGCTTCTCATATCTAACCCCCTGACGTAGCACATTTACTGTTACTTCTCCCAGGTCTCCTTTATGCTGTTGATCAAAACTAAAATTTGGTCCCTCTTACATAACAAAATATTTTCTCCTTTGTTTGTGTTAATGTCCTTCCTTTCTGACTGAATGACATGTTACATACTGAGCATCTCATTGGCTACAGTCTGCAGTACAGACATCTTACCCTCAGTGACTGACAGGTAAACCCATGTTCCCACAGGTGAACCTCCGCTGATCTCCACACTACACCAGTAGTAACCAGAGTCCCCAGCTGCCAGATTGTTCATGGTCACAGTGAAGACTTGCTTTTTGGGATTATCTCTGATCGACACTTCATCTTTCTTCTGTGGAGAGTCACTGCGTACTATGGGAGTACATGAACTCCAGTGACTCCCTCTGCACCAGTATTTCACATGTGTTTTATATCTGTCTTCATAGAAACATGGGATGGTGACAGATCCTCCTCTCTGTACAGACACCCATCCCACTGAGGACACACTGTCAGCACCTGTGGGGAAAACAACCAACTGAATTCACATTTTCAGCATCACAGTATCTCTGGTTAATATTATCAGTTTGTGTGACACTTGTACCAGGAATCATGGCACAGAGAGATGGGTTTAAGAGGACAGTGAGGAGGTAAAACAGCAAGACTGTCATTTTGCCATAAGAACAAGGGAAAGACACAGGAAAA